TGTTTTTTTGGGGTGCGCTATTGCAAATGGGATGTTTTCTTCTTTTTTCTAACTGCTTGTTTGTACATAGGAAGATTGTCTGAGGCCAGGCTTGGTGGCTGAGGCCTGTAATCCTAGCACTTTAGGAGACTGAGGCAGACGGATTGCTTGAGCCAAGGAGTTTGAGACCAGCCTGGGCAACCTAAGATGACCCCATCTCTATTTATTTATTTTTCTGAGACAGGGTCTTGCTCTGTCACCCAGGCTGGAGTGCAGTAGTGCAGTTCCAGCTCACTGCAACCTCCACCTCCCAGGTTCAAGCAATTCTCATGCCTCAGCCTCCTGACTACCTGGTATGACAGGAGTGTTTTACCACACCTGGCTAATTTTTGTATTATTAGTAGAGTCAGGGTTTTGCCATGTTGGCCAGTCTGGTATGAAACTCCTGGCCTCAAGCAATCTGCCTGCCTTGGTCTCCCAAAGTGCTGGGATTACAGGCATGAGCTGGCCCAGCCTCATCTCTGTAGTTTAACAACTAAGTAAAAGAAAGGCTGTTTAGTATGTTCCTTTTGTACCTAACTCTTTAGCAGAATCTGTCTGCCTCATTTTTCAGAGTAAATATGACTATTTCACCTTCTGCCTTTTTCTTTAATATCTTACTTTGCTCCTTGCCTAGTTGCATCAGCTAGGGCTTCCAAAATAATAGTGGTAACAGAGGGCATTCTTTTGTTCCAAAAGTTGATGGAAGCTTCTATTGCTTCAATCCCTTACAAATGATGCTGGGCTTTGCTTTGATGGGTGTATGTCTGGGTGTAATTTCCTTTATTGTGTGTAATCTAAGGAAGTATTCCTTTTCTTAATTTGATAAGTTTCTTTTATAAATTTTGTAGTCAAATGCCTTTTGAACATCTATGGTGAGTATAATTTTCAACATACTAATATAAATGAAAAGAGAAGATGTTCTAATTTCGAGCCATTCTTTCACACTGTACAAGTCTCCCTTGGTAGGTAAGTTTTTTTTCAGCCCCAGTGGGGTTTATTTGCTAATATATTATTTTGGATTTTCATACGTTGATTTTTATGTAACTGTCTTTTCTTGTTTGTTTTAGAGATATGGCTTTGCTCTGATGCCCAGGCTGGAGTGCAGTGATGTGATCACACTTTACTGTAATTTTAAACTCCTGGGCTAAAGTGATCCTCCTGCCTCAGCCTCCTGGGTAGCTGATATTACAGGCACGTGCCACCACACCTGGCTTAATTTTTAAATTTTTGTAGAGACAGAGCCTTGCTATGTTGTCTGAGCGGCAGTTCAGTGTACACTGTAGATGTGAACATTTACTGGTCTTTCTGCTGGAATCATTCCCTCTCCCATCTGTTTGTCTTTAAATTCTGGGCATGCGCACACACTCCACCTGCACATCCTAACTGCAAAATACTGATGTTGTCCAACCTGCCTTGAAAAGGGAGAACTGTTTTTCCCTCTTTGTATCTCTGCTGGTGTTCAGTCCACTCAGTCCACTGCTGTGTTTTTGGTAAATACTTGACCCACAGAGTTTGGGAGGCAGGAAGGGAAGGCTTCTGCATTTCCTTTGTGGACCTGACATCATGAATCCATTAAGCATATTGGGAAATTAGCAGGTCAGGTGGCTGCACACTCTAGTTGCCTCTGACTCTGAATTGCTGAGGGCCCCCTGCATGCCAGTGACTTGCTTTTCTTTGTGAGTTATCTCTTCACTCATATTCCTAGGATGAGTTCCCCAAACAGTGGCTAGCACAGCACCTGTAACAGTTGTGGGTGCATATCTGATCTTGCATGACCTGACTTATAGGGTGTTTTGAACAGGTGCTACCTGTTATGGCTTGGGCTATGGCTAAAGTTTACTTGACTTACTTTCATAAAGTAACTGGTAGAGTATGTGGCATAAGGCTATTATTGCAAAAGCAGAAGTGGTGGGGGGTGATTGAGCTTGGGCAGCATTGGGAGGCAGACAGACCGGCATCAGCACCGTCCTGGCCACCATTTGTAGGTTATATGACCTTAGGGGAATCCCCTCAACTCTCTGAGTCTTTGTTTCTTCCCTCATTAAGGAGATCATCCATTCCTCATTGGACTATTTTAAGGCTTAAGATCAAACGTCTTTCAAGGCACTCGGAGCAGTGCTGGGCTCTGGGTCTTTAGGCTGTAACCATAGCAAACACTCAGATCCCCGCCACCCTCGCTTCTCTTCCCTCCAGTGTGGGGATGTGGAGAACCAACCTTCTCATTTCCATTTACCCTGGAGTTGTTTCTTTTGAACTTCATCTAGTACCTGCTGTGCACCAGGAATTCATGGGTGAGGAGGACAGGGACAGCCAAGTCTGGCATCTGGCCTTCAGCTTGCTTCAGTCCCTGTGGCTGACACCTGGCCCTTTGCTCCGGAATCTGGACCCTACAATCTACTACCAAATGCTCAGCCCAAAGAGGACGCCCCCTATCAGTGAGAAGAATGCATAACTGCCCACGTCTCCCCATCTCCTGAGCTGATGATCAGCCCCAGCAATCCAGAGACACATTCTTGTATTCTGCTAGGTTTATTCTTCAGTTGAAAACTCAAAGGAAAATGTTATGTTCCAAAAGAAAGTGAAAAAAACTTCGAATGCTCTAGCCTGGGAGGCTGAATTCACAGGTGCCCCTACCAAAACAGAGGCCTTCGAAAGCCTTCTGTCCCCGTGTGTCTACCCCAGAGAGCAGCTCTCTATTGGGCTTCTGAAGAGCTATCAGTTCCCCTCAAAGAAGCTCCTGCCTCAAGAGATCCCCGGATCAGGCAGGGAAAGCCAGGACTGGGCAGCTGAGAAGCTGACTTCATGTCCTCCTGTGCACAGTCAGCGTTCTGAAGTGGTGGTTTCCCACATGGCTGTTGAATAAGTTAATAAATACCTTGGGCATGAATAGGAGCTGGTAGAGCTCTCTCTGCAGGGCCAGGACTCGCTGGCTACGCTGTCTCTTGGTTTACAGTGGAGGTGTGGAGGAAGGGGGAGAATTAACCAGACCAGTGGGAGAGTTTCATGTCCTCACAAGTATTTTTGAATGCAATGGCAAACAGCTCATCTTCTCTGCATTTGAAGCATGTGTGGTTCTGAGTTTCCCAGCATTCCATGCTGGTTAGTCTGTCCCAGCCAAGAATCTTGCCCTTGTCAAGGAGCTGGAATTAGAGTAGAAGGTGGAGGAGTTTGAAGTCTTTGGCAGCCTAGTGCTAGCTTAGATGAAATCTCAAACTGAAAAGAAGAGAGAAGAGAGAAGTAAGGCCAGACTATGGGCCCCAGAGGAGAGGGGGCCCAGCTGTTTTCTGAAATAAATTATGCCGAGGCCCCTAGTACAACCCCTGGCCCTCCTTATCGAAAGGACAGCTCTCCATCCACTCCCACCCATCTCCCTCTCCCCTTTCGGTAAGAGCATCAGGGATGGGTCGATGAGTCCTGACACCTGCCAGGCCTTTGCAGGCAGTGGTGTTAGGCCCAGCCTGCTGCGTTCCTGGAAAATTGGAACAAGCATCTATGGAGCCCTCACTCCATGTCAGGCTCTGTTACCAGCACCCTGAAGACAGAAGACCAAGACATACTTCCCAGCCCAGGGGATGGCGGAACCTTAGCCCACAATGCATTGAGAGCTCAGGATGCATCCAACCCAAAGTGCAAGCTAAAGGGAACTCTCACTGTGTGGGTAGGATCTTGAGTACAGTTTGCAGTGGAGGCTGCTCAACTGTTTCCCTATCAAGTGTGGTGGTCACGGACACAGACTGGACACTCAGGGCTACCAGGGTAAGGAAGCGCTCTTGTAACCCTCATCTGTTAGGAGAATGGTTTAAAAGATGGGCGTTATCTAACGTCTTTGAGATGGAGTCTAGCCCTCTCACCCAGGCTGGAGTACAGTGGCTCACTGCAACCTCTGCCTCCCAGGATCAAGCAATTCTGCCTCAGCCTCCTGAGCAGCTGAGATTACAGATGCCTGCCACCACACCCAGCTAATTTTTCTGTTTTTATTAGAATGGGGTATAGTCAGGCTGGTCTCAACTCTTGACCTCAGTGATCCACCTGCCTCAGCCTCCCAAAGTGCTGGGATTACAGGCATGAGCCACCACACCCTGCTATTTATTTTTTTTGAGATGGAGTCTTGCTCTGTTGCCCAGGCTAAAGTGGAGTGGCACAGTATCAGCTCACTGCAACCTCTGCCTGCTGGGTTCATGTGACTCCCCTGCCTCAGCCTCCTGAGGAGCTGGGACTACAGGCATGAGCCACCACACCTGGCTAGGAAGTGCCCTTCTGTCCCTCATCTGCTAAGAGCAATGTCTAAAAGATGGGCTTTAGGTGGCCTTTCTGCCATCTCTCTCTACTACATTCTGGTTCTTTTTCAGTATGTAGTTTTCAGTAATTAGTAAATTAGCTGATTGGCTAAATTACTAAACTATAAATTTAGTGATTAGTAATTTAAATAATTTCTGGTTTCCTGCTGAAATCTATGATCTCTGTCTAATAAGCCTACTCTGAGTCTTGTGGGTCTGTCTATTATTGTCTGTCTGTGCTAGTTTTTACACTGAGAATCGTACCTCCCTAAGTGTGTTTTTTATTACTACGGTGTTGATAATTGTATCATCATGCCCAGCACGGAGGTGCTCAATAAATATACATTTCCAGTGTCAAAAATATTCAATGTGGTAAAACACAAAAAATTTACAACGACCATTTAAAGTACCCACTTCAGTGTAAGTACAATTATATTTTTGTGCAGCCAAACAAACTCTGGAACTCACTAAATCCTGCCAAACTGAAACTCTGTCCCCATTCAATAAGTCCTTACTGGCTCTCCCAGCTCCTGGTTGCCACCACTCTACTTTCTGTCTCTGTGAATCTGATTACGCTAGGTCCTTCCCATCAGTGGAATCATACAGCATTTCTCTTTTTGTGACTGCCTTATTTCATTTTGCATAACGTCCTAAAGGTTGATCCATGTCTTAGCATGTGTCGGAATTTCCTTCCTTTTTAAGGCTGAATTATGTTTGACTGTATGGAGAGACTACATTTGTTTATCTCTCGGCGGGCACTTGGATTGCAGCTATTTTTCAGCTCCTATGAACAATGCTGTGCCGAGACCAGCTCAGCCTCAGAGACCGCAACTCATGCGGCAGTGAAGGAATTAAGAAACAGACACCGACATAGCAAAAGGTGGGTTCAGAGTGGGGCACCAGGGGTCTCACAGCACTTCCAGCTGAGAGTCCAGAGCAGACTCTAACCAATGTATTTATTCTTTACGTTCCAGTGACAAGTTTTACAAGAAGATGCTCTGTGTTCTTTCATTGGTTAAAGGTAAACTTACCAGGCAGCTAGTGTGTGTTTACTACAAGTTAAAGACAAACTAGAAAGCGCTCTTTACAAGGGAACAAAGAAAGGGTTACCCATCCTGTGCTCAAAGAACTGATTCATCTGGCGTGAGACACAATTATATTGAATACTGTTTATAGTGCTCTGAGCAGTTTGCTGCTTTGGGGCGTGGGGCAGTTTTCCGCTTTGGGAGGCCGACTAAGTTTCCCTTGCCACCTCTCTCAATAGGATTTCTCAGCAAACAATATGATTTCTCACTCAACAACGCTGCTATGAGCATCAGTGTATAAATGTGTGAGGCCCTTTGAATTGTAGAGAGTACACACCCAGAAGCGGAAATGCTGGATTATATGGTAATCCTTGTTTAGAGACAGAGTATCGCTCTGTCACCCAGGCTGGAATGCAGTGGTGCAATCCTGGCTGACTGCAACCTCTGCCTCCTGGGTTCAAGCAATTCTTAACCCTCAGCCTCCTGAGTAGCTGGGATTACAGGCCTGCACCGCCACGCGTGGCTCGTTTTTGTGTTTTTAGTAGAGATGGATTTCACCACGTTGGCCAGACTGGTCTTGACCTCCTAGCCTCAAGTGATTCACCTGTCATGGCCTCACAAAGTGCTGGGATTACCAGTTTGTGCCACCATGCCTGGCCTGTTTTACACTTTTTGATGAAAAGTTTTTAAACACTGTTTTCCATAGTTAAGCTCCATTTTATATTCCCAGTAAGAGTACACACGGCTTCCAGCTGCTCAGCATTCTCTCTAAGACTTTATTTTCTGTATGGATTACAGCCATCCTAATGAGTCTGAGGTGGCCTCTCCATGTAGGTCTTCTTTTTTTGAGATGGAGTCTCGCTCTGTCACCCCGGCTACTGTACAGTGGTGCAATCTTGGCTCACTGCAATCTCCCCCTCCCAGGTTCAAGCAATTCTCCTGCCTCAGCCTCCTGAGCATCTGGGAATTCATCAGCCAAGCTGGTCTCAAACTCCTGACCTCAAGTGATCCGCCCATCTCGGCCTTTCAGAGTGCTGGGACTCCAGGCATGAGCCAGTAAGTCCAGCTTCTCCGTGGTTTTGGTTTCCCTAATAGTGATGGTGAGCATCTTTTTATGTGCTGATTGGCCATTTGCACCTCTTATTTGGTAGACTGTCTATTCACATCCTTTGCACATTTCTGAACCACGTTAGTGGGGTTTTTGTTGTTACATTGTGAGAGTGCTTTATCTGTTCTAGATGGGAACTCTTTGACATGTAATTTGTACATCTGTCATTCCGTAGGTTTCCTTTTCAGTCTGTTAATAGTATCCTTCGATGTAATCCAATCTGTCTACTTTTCCTTTTGTTGTTTGGGCCTTTGGTGTCATATCTAAGAAATCATGGCCAAAGGAAGCTATCCTTCTATGTTTTAGAAGTTGTCAGCTGGGAACAGTGGCTCCTACCTATAATCCCAGCACATTGGGAGGCCGAAGTGGGTGAATCATGAGGTCAGGAGTTCAAGACCAGCCTGACCAAGATGCCCTGTCTCTACTAAACATACAAAAATTAGCTAGGCGTGGTGATGGGCTCCTGTAATCCCAGCTACTTGGGAGGCTGAGGCAGAGAGTTGCTTGAACCTGGGAGTCGGAGGTGGCAGTGAGTCGAGATCACGTCACTGCACTCCAGCCTCAGTGTCAGAGTGAGAGTCTGTCTCAAAAAAAAAAATGAGTTGTATGGCTTCAGATCTTACACTTGGTTCTTTGATTCATTATTGAGGGTTTTTTTTTTTTTTAAAAAACATGATATAAGGTAACGCTTTAACTTTATTCTTTTGCCTGTGGACATCTAGTTTTCCAACGCCATTTGTTGAAAGACTGTCCCTTCCCTGATTGAAGTCTTGGCATCCTTATTGAACTCATTTGACCATATGTGTAAGAGTTTTATTCTGCACTCTGTATTCCATTCCACTGGTCTCTCTATATGTCTTTATTGCCGTACCACACTTTTGACCACTGTAGCTTTTTTTTTTTTTTTTTAAAGATAGAGTCTTACTCTGTTACCTGGCTGGAGTGCAGTGGCACAATCTCGGCTCACTGCAACCTCTGCCTCCTGGGCTCAAGGGATTCTTCTGCCTCAGCCTCCCGAGTAGCTTGGACCACAGGCGTGTGCCACCACACCTGGCTAATTTTTGTATTTTTCGTAGAGATGAGGTTTCATCATGTGGGCCAAGATGGTCTTGATCTCTTGACCTCATGATCTGCCCACCTCAGCCTCCCAAAGTGCTGGGATTACAGGCTTGAGCCACCATGCCCAGCCCTCTGTGGCTTTCAATAATACATTTTGAAACTGAGAAGTAAAACACTTCCAGCTTTGTTACTTTTTCAAGATTGCTTTGGCCATTTGGAATCTCTTGAAATTGCATATAAACTTTACACAATTTATAAGGATAGATTTTTCTGTAATTGAAGAAAAAATGTCACTGAGATTTTGAGAGCAATTAAACTAAACCTGTAGATCACTTTGAGTCGTATTGACATCCTAATGAAACTAAGCCTTTTAATACATAAATATGAGATGCCTTTACATTTGTTACACAGTCGGTCTCTGGAACTGAAAACCCTGCGAGAGTCTGCCTCCTGGTTGAGTTTATTCCTGTTTTATTCTTTTTGATGCCATTGTAAACTGAGTTTTTTTTTTTCCCCAGATAGTGTCTCACTATGTTGCCCAGGCTGGGGTACACTGGCTATTTACAGGCATAATTATTATAAAAACTGACAGCATTGACCTGCCAGGCTCAAGTGATTCTCCTACCTCAGCCTCCCAAGTAGCTGGGAATATAGGCATCCACAACCAAGCCAGAAGAAACTATTTTCTTAATTTCCTTCTGGGATTGTTGACTGTTAGTGCGTAGAAATGCAACTGACTTCTGTATATTGATTTCATAATCCTAAAACTTGGACAAATTATTAGTTCTAACAGTTTATTTTGTGCAGTCTTCAAGATTTTCTACAAAGAAGATCATGTAGTTTGTTAACAGAGAAAATTTTACTTCTTCCTTTCCAATTTCGATGCCTTTTCTTTTTCCTTTCTTTCTTAATAGCTCTGGCTAGGATTTCCAGTATTATGAAAGCATGCATCATTGTTTTATTACTCATCTTGGAAAACTTTGTCTCATCATTGAGAACGATACTAGCTGCATGTTGTTCATATGACCTTTATTACGTTGAGGTTGTTTTGATTTCTAGTCAATTTGTTTTTAATCATGAAAGGATATTAAACTTCATGAAATGCTTTTTTTGTACTAATTGAAACAAATTATGTGTTAATTTCTCTGGTCAGGTGCTAGGGGGAAGGATGACATGAAGTCAGGAGTTCGAGACCAGCCTGGCCAACATGGTGAAACCCCGTCTCTACTAAAAATACAAAAACATGGTGGTGGACGCCTGTAATCCCAACTACTTGGGAGGCTGCACCACTGTACTCCAGCCTGAAGGACAGAGCAAGATCGTATCTCAAAAAGATAATAAAAAGTGTCTTAATATTTCTTTTTTTTATGAGAGTTCATAAGATGCCTTTATTTTGTAACTTACAATCACCTTTAAATTTGTCCTTCAAGTGTTAACTCTAACTGGTGACTGTTTTTCTTAAATACTTCACTGGCATTCAAGAGAGAAAAAGAATTTAGCCCTTGATTTAAAATAAATAAACCCGAGACACGGTGGCTCACACCTGTAATCCCAGCACTGTAGGAGGCCGAAGCATACAGATCATGAGATCCGATGTTTGGGACCATCCTGGCCAACATGGTGCACCCCCATCTCCACTAAAAACACAAAAAAACTAGCGGGGCATGGTGGCACATGCCTATAATCCCAGCTCCTCAGAAGATTGAGGCAGGAGAATTGCTGGAACCCAGGAGGAGAAGGTTGCAGTGAGCTGAGAATGCTCCACTTCACTTCAGCCTGGGCGACTGAGCAAGACTCCATCTAAATAAAGAAATCAATCAATCAATCAAACCCACCCACCCACCCTAAGAGGAAGACAGAGGACCTTAACTGCAGATAGTACTCCATTGTTACCCTGTGGCTATATATCTTCTGAGATGCCTGTCGTCTCAGATGTTCTGTTGATGGCTGTAGTCGCTGAAAGTTTTGTATTTACATGGTCAGAACATTGAGTGCTTCTGTTTGATTCCCAGATTCTCCAACCTACCTTCCCATGGAGTCACACCACCTCCTGTCTTGGCACTTCATGAGTCCAGTGGTCTTTCACAAGAGGATCTGGTTGGCAGACCGTGACCTTGGTTCCTGCTTCTATCCGTAGATTTATTCTTAGCAGCCACCACCTTTTTGGTACTAGAACAGTGCGTTTTTTATAGTGCGTTCATCGGTGGATGCTGAGACCACAACCCGGTCATTTGGATGTTCAACTAATGCTTTATGACGCAGTCCCTGCAACTCACCAACCCGTGCCAGAACTCACTGGAGCTCAGGTGTGTAGCACTACCTTGTTTCTCTATGGCTGGGAGTGCAAACATGGTTGATGTGTTTATTTCCCATTTTTACTTTGCAGGTTTTGTTTTGTGAGACAAGCTCTTACTCCATCATGCAGCCAGAAGTGTAGTCATGGTTCACTGCAGCCTTGACCACCCATATTCAAGCCATCTTTCCTCAGCCTCCCAAAGTGCTAGGAATACAAGTGTGGCCTACATTTATTTGAGCTTTGAGTTCATTATTTATTCTAGAAATGAGTCTCTGGAGATGAGTTCTTCATCTGATAGTTGGTTTGTAAAAGTTTTTCCCAAACTGTAGCTTATCTATGGAAATAATAATGTTATTCTGTTTTTTTATACATTAGGCAATAGCTCTAGTTACACCTCTGCCATATTAACAAAAATTTCATCCTCACACCCTTGACATTAGAATTGAAAGCATAGGGGGGTTTCACCCCTTGCAATATTTAATTCAGTATAATTGTTATCTGGTTTACATTAGTGACCATATCAGAGCATGGTGTACACCTCTTGCCATATTCCGAGTATTTCCCTATGGGCCGCAACATTTCCCTCTCCTTCTCTGGATATTAGGAGCAATATTTCAGGATGGTCGACCAGTCCCAGTCACATCGTAAGTAATGTCATCTGTAATCCCCTAGTTATTAGGAA